GCTATTTACACATTTTCAAAGCTAATTCTTCCATTGTCAACAATTGTGTCCTCTCACTCTATTGTCTTTCTAATATAGCACAGGGAAATCAGAGACCTTAACCCTATGTGCAGCCCTGATCCACAAATATTCATCAATCATTTTCTTAAATTCCTGTAAAGCTACATCCTCTACCATTCACAAATTTATTACTCTACTGAAGATATAAAACTATCAATTGGAAATGTGTCTGAACCTTCCAAATCTTAAATTTATGACTTTGTCTTATAGGCTTCAGAATTCAACATGAAAAATTCTGATGCATCAGTATTACCAATTTCCTTAATAGTTTTTTTTTTATATATATAATTCAAGCAGAACAATTCTGACCATTCTCCTTTCGAGAGAGTACACTAAGAGACCTAAAGCTGTCACCATATGACAACGCATCCATTGCCAATATTGTCTTACGGTAGTAGCCCTCCCTAACCATTCTCCAACTCAATATAATTTGAAAAGAGAACCGAAATTGTGCCCAATAGTCTAAACGAGGCCTAACTAGTGCCTTACACTAAGAAACCATGGCCTTTTTAAGCTTAGTCAATATTCTGTTAGCCCTACTAGTAGCAATGAAATACTCTTAAAAGTTTAGAGATCTACCAACCCATAGTCTTGAAATCCTATTAGTATTAATCATTCACATAATTATGAGGATTTTCAACTAATTCATATGTGAAGAAGTAACTTAGATTATAATAACCCACATTTATAACTTTATATTTAGTATAATTATACATGCATTTGTCTACTAACCAACCATCTCCAAGTTTCTCCATAAAACTAATACATATTCCTTAATGAACCAGACCTACAGATTTTTGTATTATCAGAAAACTTCCAACAATTTATTGTTTATTCCCTCAATAATGTCATTAATAAGGAATATCAATGGTCCAAATTCCTTTAGCACACCACTTGAAACAATAGTTTAGTTAAATTTTCCTCTCCTCCCACCCATTTTACTTTCAATCTATTTAACTAATTTATCCTCTACTGAGGTAATCTGTTTCACCAATCTTTTATGCAGCACCTTATGAAAAGCTTTATGAAAATTTAAAGTAAACAAGGTCCACTCCCTTATCCTTCTTCAGATAAGAAGTAATACCCATAAAAAGGTTAATAGGTTCATCAGGATCTTTTGTTTGCAAAGAAATGTTGGCTGTCTGACAAAATTGTGAAACCTCATCAAATGATCATGCAAGGCAGATCACCTAAAAACTAACTGGTTAAATGCCTTATCTCCCTTCTTTAAAAGATATAATTAGCTTACTTATGAATAGAAATGTGTAATAATTACTAATGATAAAATAAATATTAGATATAATAATGATATGTTTTAGAGACTTAGATAAAATCTAGGGGTATACAAACAGCTAAGACATCATAGAATTACTATCAGTACTTAGTAGCAAGACTAAATTCAAAACACTTAAAGTTAATGTACTTAAAAACCTGAAAACTTTTAACAACTATAAACTAAGGTAAATCTCTAAATCACTGTTAAATCAGTGTTAAAAATCCCATGTAATAATGTAAGGGTTATTTTAACTTAAAATTTGTGACAAACAATTTTTTTTTAAAGCTGGGGATTTGGACTCGAGAAGCTTTTCTTACATTATTTCTAATTAGTGCATTATACTATATTTCAAATCAGTTGTATGTAAACACTAAAAATATTTTATTTTCAGCAAATTCAGATCGTCCTTTTGTCTACTAGTACTAGCACTGGGTAGCAGTACAACTTCAAGTTCCAATAACTGAATAAGTCACAGCCCATGACTGGCACTGTGGCAGGGGCCTTTCGTTCAATACCACAGACTAGGTACGGGCACATCTCGTCGTCAGCTGGTCTGAACCATGATGGCAACCAAAATAAAAGTTTATCTAAAGTTATTTCTTACATCGAATATTATTGGTAGGACTAGTACAACACTAATACTGTAATACACTACACAGACAAACGCTATAAAATTAAGTAGTCTTATACCTTGAAGTATCCTCCTTCATAGAGAGTATTAGGAGGTCCGAAGATTGCGACTTCCCATTCGAAAAGGTTATCTTCATTGATAAGCTTTACCCTAAATCCTTCAACAGGTTCTTCTTGGACACTTTTGAATTCAAGGGCTAGGGCTCTCAACGCACTGCTTGTGGGTTGTTGAGCCATATTTAGGCCCGTTAATAATGATTTAAATCCCTCCTCTCTTAAAAGTCTAACCCTACTCGGTGAGTCTAACTTCCCTCACTGTTACAGCTACTATACTAACTCCAAACAAAGCTGAATCTCAATACATGTCAAAAGCACAACACTGATGACATCACAGGAAGTTCTGACGTAATTTGTTATTCAAAGTATCGTAAATCAATAGTTTTAAATTTTTCATACATTATCTTTGTTTATTTCTAAAATTCATTTTTTCAATGTATAAACTATTTTACATATAATGTATTACTTTATCTTCAAATCTGATACGTAGGTAACTTTTTTTATTTTATTGTTCTCTTTTTATCTGACGATCTCGTCGAAAATCACACAGGAAGTTAGACTTTAGTTCATTTACTCAGGGTATGATTGGGATATTTCAAATATAAATAACATACTTATAAGACCCTAAATAAGCGATTTTGTTAATATTTTCGCCCGTGAACAGGTAAGCTTAGCCTAAGATTATTAAACACTAACACCAGTAATAGTATTACTATTATTATTATTAATACTTATTATTCATTTATTGTAATGTTGGGGAAGTTTACGTGGTGAGAACAAGGTATTTTTTTCAATAAATATCTTTTCTCTGGGTAAACTATTTTATTGACAAAACGTAATATTTATAATAGAAGATAAATAATTAGTTTCGCTTTTATTAGCTAAAACTAAAAGTAAAATATTTAAATAAATAGATTCATTCTCGAATAATTGTTAATGTTATGACACTTTGAAATTGAAGTTTGATTTTGAATAACAGGCTGATTTCGTGATAAACGTTTAATGATTTATAAATTAGCAAATGTATAACATTTTTGTATTCTTAATATTTTTAGATACTTGTGAACTTCAAGTGAAGTACATAAATTCGAAACGTCAAGTTGAAACTTAAACTGTACTATTACATGCTTGGCTATATTACTAATACTAGTAGTACTAGGTTTCTAAAGTTACACTGCCAATGGTATGGTAGTTAATTACTTAAAGGTTAGAGTACTACATTATCACTACTACTACATGCTTGGCTATATTACTAATACTAGTAGTACTAGGTTTCTAAATTCTAAAGTTACACTGCCAATGGTATGGTAGTTAATTACTTAAAGATTAGAGTACTACACTGTCACTACTACTACTATTATTAATGTTTCGTTTTGATTGGACGTTATACTGAGTTCTAGACTATTAAATTTAATATACTCCTGGTCCTGATTAATTCGAGACTTTAGTCTGGAAATAAGCAGTATTTGTAATATTGATAAGCAAGTCTGTATTTATAGAAAAAATAGCTGTGTGCCTGTAATTTGTATTTATGTTTTGTAACTTGTAAGACTGGCTAAAAGAAAATTGGAGCACTTAGTTTGTATTTTTTCAGTTATTTTCTGTACTTTGGGGTCCTAAGCTTTCCATGGTACTACTACTACTATTACTAGGTAAGTTATTATTTATATCTTTCAATCAAAGTTGCTTTTAGAAAAATATCTTGAGCAGAATGGTGCCATCACGTTAAGTAGTTGAGCAGTTATACCCTGGCTAGTATTTTAATATAAAGCCCCAGCTATTAGCTATCAGATAACCATCCAGTTCCACCTCATCGAATTTTAAGCATTGTCCTCATTCCACATAGATTTTAACAACTTATTCACCAATCATGACATAGTTTTTTCATATCTGAATATAATTATTTACCTACTGTTTTTATTGAAGTACTAGTTGTGATAATCTGAAATAGGGACTTGAACCCAGACCCTCGGCTAACACCAGTATTTTGATACCAACACTATCTACTGAGCAACCACAGCTTTAAGCCAATGAAGACAACCTTTGACTTAGATGATTATAATAATCTTCCTGTTTGTCCATTTAAGGATGTAGCTTGTACGATTAAAGCAAGATTTTGGATGAAACACTTTTTATGCAAACAAGTATGATAAAACTATCAAAAGGTTCTTGAACTTTATTAAAATTATAAGTTTTATATTAGGTTGTATTATTTTCTACTTTCCGTTAATAACCTCAACTCGTATGCTCATCACATTTTTGTCAACGTGTGTTATCACTCATTTTTTAATACTAGTGATACATAGCATGCTGACAAAGCCAAAGCCTGCAATGCTAAAAACTTACTGTAGACTTAGTATAATAGAAACTAACTTATTAACTACTTCTGGTAATTTTTATTTTCAAGCATTTTCATGTTTCTAATTTACTTTATTCATTCTTATGGTTATATTGCTGGATATTTATTAACTATTGTTGTAATGTTTGGTGTACTTTGTTTTTTAATTCATATTTTTTGTAATCTTTAATGTGTTACTAACTTCATGAAAGTGTTTTGTTATGTTGGAGTTTGGTTTGTAATATTTTATCAATGTTTTTTAGGGCCATTGGTTTAGCTTGTATATCATTTCATGCAATTTGTTGACTTTATTGTTTGAGGTGTCAGTTTGTATTGTTTATATGTATTTGTATGTATTTATATTGTGTTGTACAGTAGGTGCTAATAATGATAATGGTATTATATTTAGTTTTATATTTAGTTTTTTTATTGCTTTCTTCTTTACATTTAGTAATTCTGATGCATTTTTTTATTCCTGCTAAAAATCTTTATTTCTTTGTATTTAATTCCTATTTCTTGCTTCATTTACATTTTTTCCCAACTTAATATTGATATAGAAGTCTTAATATATGGACAGCAAGGCTGTTCCTGTACACCCAACCCCCTGAGAAAAAACAAAAATTTAAACCCAATCAATCTGTCTGAAAAAAAAAATTCTTAACTGAAACCCAAGTTGTTTTTTCCAAATCTTAAACTTGTAATCTCTCATTCTGTTGTCTTCAGCACAAATACATCTGTCATACTTTTTAAAAATTCAAGATATAATCTCCCCGAGCTAAATAAATCTGTAAATTTAATTTAAAAAGTCATTAATAATAAAATTATTTAGTTCTTGACATATTACATGTATTTTCCAACTTTCTTAGATACAACTCGTCAGAAATAAACAGTTTATCTCTACCTTATAAACTTGACTCTTAGATCAAACCATTTTACGTTTTATTTGACATATCCCCACTGACTGTTTAGTCTTTACACTGCACAAAGGTTTCTTACCCCTATATCACTTAAGGAAAAGGGACTGAAAGACATACATTACAGTTTCCATCATTAAATCTCCAAAATAGTTTTTTATTTATGTGATCAGTAATTACAGAAAAAAAAGATTGTTATTTAGAACCTGTAAGTAATTTATCTATCTTTGTTACAATATCTTGAACTTCAGTATCGAGATAGTTTCACAGGATCTGTCACAATGTTAATCTCAAGATCCTTTTCTTCTATTCCTTCAACAGTCAAAGGGGTAAATCTACTAGATATATCTACTCACATTTGACTTGGAACTTGCTTTGTGCACCACAATTAACTTTTGATTTTCTTCGTCTTTCCTCAAAGTTGTAATCACATAGATTTTCTTTCTATTTACTTTATTACTTGCTTGCTTAAATAACTTGCTTTTTTCTTTATCTATTTCATCACTTCTATCCAAAGCAAACTTAAACTTCTATCAATAATTAGAGCTGGATAGCTGGGTGATTAATTCAATTTAATAATTGGTTACCTATTATTTTAAATTAATTGAAAGCTTAATTAACTTGTGTTGCAACTCACAAAAATATCAAGTAGTTGAAATTAGTGTCCCCCCCCCTCTCCCAAGTGGCTCGGCGGTTAGTCTACAGGCTTGTGATATCTGTGGTGGGCAGATGATGAGCCTGACAATTATGCGGTTTATCAAATTCTAATAATCACTTAGAGCTATCAAGAATACTTTACAAGGAAACTTCAAAAAAGTAACTGTTGACAGTTCTGTAGTTTTTTGTTTAGAAAGATTACATGCGATTCTGTGCTACATTAGGAGGTACAAAGATATTTAAAATTAGTTTTACACTTACTTTGAAGTTTTAATATAATGTTTCCTTTGTAAAAGAGTTTCTTTCTGATCATAAAATCAAAACTGATATTAATAATTACTTCTTAAAGTGAAAGGTAGGTATATGTAGTTTCTTACAAGTCAAACAAGAACTTTGGTTGACAGATGTCATTTGGAATATACCATTTTTCTGTTTCCTTGTACTTCATGATACTCAGTCAAACTAGATTAATGTGTGGTATTTCAGGGTGCAGTATTAGGACCTTTGCTTTTATTGACTTACAACAGTGACATAGGTGAATAATGGTCAATAAATTACTTAAATGTCCTGATGATATTGAAATCTTGGCTGTGAGGATACTATTGCTTTACAAAAGGATTTAGGTGATTTCTTGAGTTGGGAGGATAAATGACAGGTGGCTTTTAATTATAATAAATTCAAGGTAATGCATGTGGATTATCATAATTTCAATTATAATTCCAAGATAATTCCTCACCTCCCCACACAGAATAGTTTGATCCCTCATGGATCTGCCTATGAGACTTGTATGCCACTAGCCCTGAGCTAACTCCAATCTAAAAGTCACATTTAACATGAACTGATCTAGTGCATGATGATGATATCATGCAAAGAGAGCCATATACCTTAACTTCTAAATCACTTTCTAGTACCTAGTTTTTGTGCCTTTGTCTCTTTCTTACCATCCTTCTATGTTACCCCTTGTCCCCTCACCTTACTTCATTATGCTCTGTGACAGTTTTCTGGGAAGGTTTGTTCTCCCTCTCTCCTTTATACCACTTTATCCCATACTACTTCTGCACTGTCCCTTCTTACTGCTGTTGGATCAAGATGCTTACCTTACTAATGGCTCATTTATCTCTGTCTTCTTTGTCTGGTTCCTTTTCTTTGCCCAAAGGTCTTCAGGGTTGTTCCTGATTCTCTGGAGGCGTGAGCCAAGGCAGCCTGGTATCTGTCCTCATTGTCTTCAATGGTTTCTCATTTTTCTCAGCCTCAACCTTCTGTTCCTGTTTTGAGGCTTGCTCATTTCACACCTCCCCTTCCAATTCCAACTTCTCGATCTTCATCTTCTTCTATTCTCCCACTTCTTGATGTCGGAATTGTTGCTCGTCTTGTCAGTGACTATTCTGTCAGGTCTGGCCCAAAGAGTGCCTGTCTGTCTCACTTTGCTAGCCTATGGTCTCCATATTCAGTCAACAGTTGGGTTCTTCAGGTTCTTGCCCATGGCCTATCTCTCTCCTTCTTTTCCTCCATCCCTCCTCATTTCCTTTTCTCCGTCCTCCAACTTTGTTTACTTTCAGCATCTCGAGGATGCAGTCTCAGATCTCTTAGCCAAGAATGCCTTTGAGAGGGTATTTACCCCTACTCTGGAGTATTACTCTTGTAATCTGTCATCTCAACAGGTTTCTAGTTGTTCCACAGTTCTGAATGGAGGGTTTGTTTTCTCTCTTGTGGCCCTTTTCATTTGGTCTGTGGATAACAAATGTTGAAATACTGGATACTTTTACTCCAGACAAGTTTAAACCATCAGAATAGAGTCTTACAGTTTCATGCTCTTCCTTTTGGTATTGCATCTGCTCCTTACATTTATAATCAAGTCATGGGGCATTTGCCCAACATATTCATAAATTGGGGCTGAGGTTCTATTATTAAATAGACAACTGGTTTCTCCTTGCTCCTTCTCAGGAGGACTCCTCCTTTCATACCTACATTCTTCTGCAGGAGACTGCTTAGCTAGTCAAGCATTTCAATTTTTTTTCTCATGCCTACCCAATATTTGGTATATCTGGGCATGTTCTTCAACTCTTGTCTCAATTGGGCTCAACCTTCAATACATTTCAGGTAAGGTAAATTTTAACTTTTTATGTTAATAACCTTAACAATTTTATAGAAGAAAAGGATTTTGATGTTCTAGTTGATCAGTACCTGAAGCCATCCAAGCAATGTGCTGTTGATGGTGGTAGGACAAATATGATTCTAGATTGTATTTACAGAAACATTGAATACAAGTCTAAAGTGGCTATAATTTCATTCTACAGTATTGTGTTCAGTCTTGGGCTCCTTACTTTAGGAAGGTCATTGAATTGTTGGAGGGCTACTAGAATTATATCTAGGCAGAAAAGTTTGTTATACGAGGGCACATTAAGATCTTGAAAAAAGAAGAGTTAAAGGGGATCTGATTGAAGTATTCAAAATTGTTAATCCTCCTGCTATGGAATTGGTGAATTCCACCAACCTTGTGATCCAAAAGCAACTATCAGAGTTTTCATACTATGACTTTTAAAATGTTTTGTATATCTTCACAAAATTTGGCAAGCTTTCGGTAAACATTGCAGGTCTTTTGTACACAAAAATCAGCTGGTGTTAGAGACTGGGATGGTATCAGTCTCGAAAAAGTGATGAAATTATCTGAATGAGGTGCTTATATACAGTACCAGGATAGAGGGTGCATTGATGTAGGTGGAGAATATCACAAGACAAATATCACCAAGGGCAACTGAGTGGGGTATGAATGAATGGAGCGAGAAAAAATCAGACTAATGGTTAGATGGGCAAAGAAGAAACCTTTGCAGTTGAGTACTAGCTATAAGTGTCAGCAGAGGTAAGTATTATTGGAAATACATTTTCAATTTAGGAAAATCTTACCTTTAATGTTTAATCAAAATGTGAAACCTATCTTGTACATTTGGATGTTAAAATAATGCTATAATTTATGTTTTAGAAAAAGAAGAAATAATATAGATCTGAGGTTAACAGGCTGTGCTAACTCAAATAAATAATGGCAGCAACACTGACACCAGTAGAAGAACAGGTAAGATTAAAACCAAATTTTTTGGTTAAATTCTGAATTTCGTGATTAAATAGGGAGCAAACTTTTAATGGAAAATGTACAAACCCTGAATTTAAACTACATACATAAGTAACTTTTGTCACAAATTAATTTTGTTGTTGTTGTTGTTTTTTGTCTCTCATTCAAATTGTGATATTAGTGACTTGAATACAATGCATGTAATTGTGTAGAATATTGCATGATTTCTTGGATAGACTGAAAACAGAGTGATGGAATATCTGCTGTGACAGTTTTAGAAACATTCTGCACTTTCCCAAATAAAACTTAGTTCACTTAGGACAAGTAGGTTTTAAGAATGATTAATAATTTTAAACATGGTCTCGAATTATAATAAGACTCGGGGATTGAAATATTACATTCCCAAGGAATTTCATCTTTTTAGTTGGCTTTCACTATCAGAATGCATGATCCATCTGTATGTCTTTACTTATGACCAATGAAAATTAACAATTCATGAGGAAATGTAACTTTACACAAGGGAATGTAATCCTCCTGATAGTTTTTCCCTTGAGTGAATGTAATTTTACTTCATTATTTCTATCCCTGAGATGGTATGAGAGATATGTAGTAGAATGTAACCTAAATAATAAAAATGCTATCTAAGTGTGGAATGGTATTTCTTCAAGGTTTCAAGTCAAAAATCTGCTTCTCAATGGATGAATAAGAAATATGATTTTTTTTTAAATGCCAGTTTGCAAGTTTCTACAAATTTGTAATTTACTTAGTAAAATTGAGGATACTGAGGGGTATTAAACAAAAAAAAAGTTAAGAAAGCTGCAGTTAAGACAGAAAGAGTGTATGAAAATTTCTTTAGCTCGATACATGAATTTTTACATAAATATTTTTTTTTCATTTACGTAAATTGTAAAAAAAAAATTAAAAAATAATATTAGTCCTTTAAAATATTTCAGAGTAAACTTTATTATGACAAAAAAACTTGCTAAGATGCTTAAGAATTTGTTTTTACCATGAGTGATGAATTTCATAAGCTGACCAATTTATTTAAAGATGTGGAAGATTTGTCCTTAAATTCTGTTTCTTGGGAAACTACTTGAAAATAAAAATCCTGGCATTGATGAAGTTTACTATAAAACTTTAAAAAAAGTATAACAAAGAGTTAATAAGGGTATTAACTATAATTTTTAAAGTCACTGTGGAAATGTTGAATGGTTGGAAATTGCAAAAGTAATGTTTAATTTTTATAAAAAGGGAAGTCAAAGGAATTTTGGGAAGCTATAAAGAGAGGTCAAAGGAATTTTGGGAAGCTACAAAGGGAGGTCGAAGGAATGTTGGGAAGCTACAAAGGGAGGTCGAAGGAATGTTGGGAAGCTACAAAGGGAGGTCGAAGGAATGTTGGGAAGCTACAAAGGGAGGTCGAAGGAATGTTGGGAAGCTACAAAGGGAGGTCGAAGGAATGTTGGGAAGCTATAAAGGGAGGTCGAAGGGATGTTGGGAAGCTATATAGGGAGGTCGAAGGAATGTTGGGAAGCTGTAGACCTATTACTTTGTCATTTTCTCTTAATAATGTGTTGTAATCTGTTGTCCAAAGTTATTCAAAAAAGCATTTGGAATTTGAAATGTAAATGATGATTCTAAGCATGGTTATATAAGTCAAGTTGAATTTTTCCCTGGGTTTGTACAATCTGCTTGTTTGTGATTTGGTGGAGTGTAAAGATTGGAAATATAATACTGAATATAAGCAGAAGGTTTAAGCTTTGAAAACCCAGGTACAGAGTTGATTAGCACAGGAGGATGTGATGGGATCATAAAAAGTTGGAGTAAAAAATCTCAACATCAGAATTTTGTGTGAAGTTATAATCTTGTGTTGGATTAGCACTGGAGGATGTGATGGGATCATAAAAAGTTGGAGTAAAAAAATGTCAACATCAGAATTTTGTGTGAAGTTATAATCTTGTGTTGGATTAGCACAGGGGGATGTGATGGGATCATAAAAAGTTGGAGTAAAAAAAAATGTCAACATCAGAATTATGTGTGAAGTTATAATCTTGTGTTAGATTAGCACAGGAGGATGTAATGGGATCATAAAAAGTTGGAGTAAAAAAATTTCAACATCAGAATTATGTGTGAAGTTATAATCTTGTGTTGTATTAGCACTGGCGGATGTGATGGGATCATAAAAAGTTGGAGTAAAAAAATGTCAACATCAGAATTATGTGTGAAGTTATAATCTTTTGTTGGATTAGCACTGGAGGATGTGATGGGATCATAAAAAGTTGGAGTAAAAAAAAAATTCAACATCAGAATTATGTGTGAAGTTATAATCTTTTGTTGGATTAGCACTGGAGGATGTGATGGGATCATA